GGTGTGTGTGTGTGTGTGTGTGTGTGTGTGTGTGTGTGTGTGTGTGTGTGTGTGTGTGTGTGTGTGTGTGTGTGTGTGTGTGTGCACGCGTTTGGATACAATCGTTTGCGTGTGTCGGTGTGCGAGCGTCCTCGTTGTGCTGTACGTGTTTCCAGTGAACTGAAAGTCTTTCGTTTGTGCTTACGACAACCTTCACTCATGTGTGGATTGCAGCCACGTCGCTGGCCCTTAATGTGGCCCAGCTGCTGATGCTGCTCGCGCTGCTCGTGGGCATGTTTGCCTACAAGAAGGGACAGCGTAGCGACCAAGAGCCTGTTGGCTGCACGTCTTCAGATCCTTCCAAGACTGTGTGGTTCAAGGCCTGGGGTCGCAACAGCAACTCCAAGGTCCAGCCATTCACTGAAGCTGAGAGCTCTGGGTGATGCTGAACTGTCGACTGTTATGATTTCCACTCGTTTGATGGCGACAACGCGCTTGCTCCCGTTAACGTCCTAACGTCGTGTTGTGTGCGTGTGTGCATGTGTGCGTGTGTGTGTCTGTGTGTGTGTGTGCGTGTGTGTGTCTGTGTGTGTGTGTGTGCGTGTGTGTGTCTGTGTCTGTGTGTGTGTGTGCGTGTGTGTGTGTGTGTCTGTGTCTGTGTGTGCGTGTGTGTGCGTGTGTGTGTGCGTGTGTGTGTCTGTGTGTGGGTGTGAGTGTGTGTGTGTGAGTGTGTGTGTGTGTGTGTGTGATGTTGTTGGTTAGATGCTGGACATGAAGCAGCTTCACCAATCCAATACACCGCGTCAAAACACATAAGTCCAAACACAAATGCGCACATGCCGCGTGACATGACACGCGCAGCAGGCTAGCACACGCAATCGAATCGAGGATGAACCGCGGCTGTTTGTGTGTTTGTGTGTTTGTGTGCGTGCGAGCCTTGGTTGGAAAGTGAAAGTGTGGGTGTGTTGTCTACCTTCGTGTATTGCTGGATGCATGTGGTGATAGGCCAACCAGCCGCGCCACATCACAAAACGCAAAGAGGCAGCGAAGCAAGGAACTAAAGAATGAAAGCGTTGGCTCGACAACTGGGGAATAGGAGAAGACGACAAAATCAAGTGCAAGTGCGTGGGGCGCAAAATCACATCACCAGGCGCGTGTGCCAAGGCCGTCAGGGAAAGAAAGTGGCAACACATGCGAGCGCTCTCGCATACACACACACACACACACAAAACACACACACACACACACACACACACACACACACACGAGCACGTCACAACACAAGGGTGATGCAATGCACCTCAGCATGTGGTAGAGACCTGTACCTCGTAAGGCACGTTGACGCCAAAGTAACCGACGACCAACAAGGACATGGGCACGCCATTCACAATGTACGCCGTGCCTTCCACGTGCTCGTTGTCTGTTGAGGTCTCGCCGGCGTCAAGGACGTTGCCGTTGTGGTCATAGAGGTAAATGTCCAAGTCACCAATGTCCACATCGAACAAGACGTCGATGCTCACGAGGCCGTTGGCACAGGGGGTCACCCGATACCAATCGTACCCTCCGTAGCACACGGTGGCGTTGAAGGCGGTGTTGGTGCCGATGGCCGTCGCCGTGTCCACGGTCTCGTTCGGCTCATATTCGTCGTCGGTGCAGGCGGGGTCGCAGTCAATGAAAGCGTACAGCTGGTACGCATACTCAGTGGAGTCGTAGCCGTCGATTTTGATGTAGTATGTTGCCTCTGTGGCGTTGGTGTTGAACAGGTAGTCTGTTTCTGGCCAGATATATGTCTCTGATCCGCCAACGCGTGCCCCGTTTGCGTCGTAGATGATGAGGTCAATGTCGATGAGGTCACCGTAGAACCACGCACTCGTGTACAGCACGCCTCCCGGGCACACGGACACCTCGTAGTAGTCGCTGTTGCCTGGGCAGGCCGTGGCGAACAGTTGCGTCGTCTCGTTGCCGAGATATGTCGCCGCCATCTGTGAGTCGTTGGGCTCGTAGTTGTCCGCCAGGCACGACAGCTCGCCGCACAGCAGCGTGGTCTGCATGGTGTATGCCGCGGATTGGCCCTCGAAGCCGTACACGTCCACGAGAACGGTCGAGTTGGCGCCTTCGTGGGCGAACACGATCCTCTCGTTGTCGGTGGCGCTGGCGGAGTACGTCAGGAAATTGCCGCCATTGTCGTACAGGTCCATGTCCAAGTCGCCAGTCTGGTGGTCGAACAGCACTTCGATGATGATGGTGCCGTTGCACACGGGAATGCTGTAAACGTCCTCCTCGCCGTCGCAAATCACCGCAGAGATGCTGCTGTCTCCTCCGCCAAGCACGGCCGCTTCGCCAGGCACGCTGTCGTTGGGCTCATACATGTCGTTGACGCAGCCCGTGAAGGAGGTGGTGGTTGTTGTCGTCGTGGTCGTGGCGTTGGTGGTGGTGGTTGTTGTCGTGGTGGTCGTCGTGGTGGTGGTGGTGGTGGTGGTGGTGGTTGTGGTCGTGGTGACGGTGACATTGCAGTCCATATTGGCGGTGGAGAGAGCGCAGAATCGGCTAAATTGAATGGTTGCGTGATTGTGAGCGCATCAAGGGTGGGGGAAACAGGCGTGAATGAGCGAGAGGACAAGAGGTGTAATGTGTGCGTGGTGCGCAGTGCCTGGGTGATGGGTGATGGTCGCACAATGCAGGCAAGCACGAACACAAAAGTGCAAAATGCATGGCACGAAACTTACTGGCAGCGCAAGACGGCTTTCATGTCCTCAAAGGAAGACTCTGGCTCCATTTCGGGGCAGCCGGAGAGACAAATACCGAAGTCAACAAAGGCCGAGTCTGTGTGGCGCTCCGCAGTTGCCACGCAGTCCGCGAACGCATCCCGCACATTGTCCTCAAACACGCTCTGCAGTTGTGCGAAGAGAAGGCGGGACGCGCGTTGTGTGCGTGTGTGTGTGTGCGTGTGTGTGTGTGCGTGTGTGTGTGTGTGTGTGTGTGTGTGTGAGTGTGGCATGCGTTGGCCAAATAGTCACCAGGTACGTGTATGTAACTATGCCTGAGGAGAGGTGGCATGTATTTTGTGCTGTGAACAAACCTTTCCGAGGCAGCTTTCGATGGCTTCAGTGCATGATGGCTGGCAAGGCTCGAGCGTCGTGGTTGTGGTGGTGGTAGTTGTGGTGGTGGTTGTGGTGGTAGTTGTGGTGGTTGTTGTGGTCGTGGTTGTGGTGGTTGTTGTTGTGGTCGTGGTTGTCACTTCGATCTCACGCACGTCCAAGACGGTGCAGCGGTTGAAGCGGAACTTGGTGTTGGCGGCGCACTCCTGCAGCGTGTCGACGTGCGCCGAGTTGAGGGTGGTGGTGCGGAAGGTGGTGCCGTTGATGACCTCAATCGTCGCAGCCGTGTCGCCGTTGTACCGACACACCTATGGTGTGTTTGGGTGGATTGGGGAGGGGGAAGGGGGGAGATAGGGAGAAAGGAGAGATGGGGGAAAAGGGAAGATAGTAAGAAGGGAGAGAAAGGGATGTCGTGAGATATTCCGCATCGTGGGATGGCGTGTGTTAGGAGTGGGGAGCGGAGGGAGACAAAGAACAAACACACATACACACACAGGCACATACACATACACACACACAGAGAGACACATACACACACAATGAGACGAATGACATCACGGTACGGTGCAACTCACGCGTCCAATGTTGCAGTCTTCCTCGAGGGCCTGCTTCCAGCGCATGCCGAAGAAGTCGATGCCGTCCTCGTCGCGCTCGTCGAGCGGATCGCGGCAGTTCACGTCCACCTGTTGGAGAAGAGGTGGTGGTGAGTTGACGATCACGTGTGTTTGTGTGTGTGTGTGTTTGTTTGTTTGTTTGTTTGTTTGTGTGTTTGTTTGTTTGTTTGTGTGTGTGCGTGTGTGTGTGTATGTGTGTTTGTGTGTGTGTTTGTGTGTGTGTGTGTGTGTGTGTGTGTGTGTGTGTGTGTGAAGCGATGACATTGCACACGAGGTGCAAAACACACTCACACACGCGCGAACGCACCTCCATGACCGTGGTGAAAACGGTCTGCGTGCAGTTTGAGACGGCAAAGCAGCCATCAGCGGCGGTGTCATTGCAACGGTACACTTTGTAGCAATCTGAAGGACAAGCAATGTGCGCGCGCGTGTGTGTGTGTGCGTGTGTGTGCGTGAGCAAGTGAGTGTGGGCAGGTTGATGAGGTTGACGGGCTTGGTTAAATGCGGGTGGATGGCAAGCGTGGGAGTTCTCAACAAACACTCAAAACCAATCACAGTGGCCGGTGTGTCTCACCTCCGCTATCGCAGGAATCGCTGAAACTCTTGCACTGGCACGTTCCACCTGTCGCAGCGTTGGCGGTCATGGCGATGATGAGGAAGAAGTGGCGCGTATTGGGTGGCACTGCCAAGAAGCACAAAACATGTCCACACACATGCACACACACACACACGCACGCACACATTCGAGAGAAACACACACACACACACACACACACACACACACACACACACACACACACACACACACACAGGACAGCCAGGTGTACCTGTGGTGCAGCGGTCCTGGGAGAGACCAGACGCCTGGCCTCCTTCAAAGTGGTAGCCTTCGGAAGCAGCTGTCAAGCTGGCGCAGCCATCGATTGCCTTTTGGACATCAAGAACGTGGAGGACAAGTTTGATTTGCTGGGTGAGGCAGAGGTGTTGTTGTGGTGCACGAAGAGGGGGGGGGGAGGAAGAGGAAGGCCGTTGACAACAGCAGGTGCATACACACACACACATACACACACACACACACACACACACACACACACACACACACACACAGACACACACACGCACACACACACACACAGACACACACACACAGCGCGGATCCGTTGTTGTCGAATGGGCTCACCACTTCTGCAAGGAATTCGGATGGGCTGAGTTCATCTCCAAGAACGACAGTCTGCAGTAGTACATTCGTGGGTGTTGGGGGTGAGTACGATGTAGAGTCGTAGAAGCTGAGCCAGTTGAATGTGCCAAACACGACAAGGGAAGCAAGGAGCACAGGGAAAACAGAGGGGAGAGGGTCCAAGTGTTCAAGGGCACAAGACCTCAAGCAGAGCACCCCTCTTCCTTCCAAGCAGAGCAAGCAGAGCACTGTCTCAATCATTTGTATCCGCGCACTCACGTCGTTGACGATGGCGTGTGTGGCGGAACGAGCGAGCACGCTGAAAGCGAGCACCACTAGCAGGGTGCCCGTGAAGGCGGAAGCGCGCATCGTGGAAGTGGGGGGAGGCTCACTGCTCACGAAGGAATCGTGTTGATGGAGTGGGGAAGAAGAAAATGAAGCATCTTGGCTGTGTCTTGCCCGCTGTTGTTGCTTGGGAGCGGCTTTGCGTGCGCTGGCAGCTTCCACACTCCGTCACCCCCAGCCCATTGCCCCACAACTCACAACGCGACGTCACACGGCAACCACTGTCCAGGCACAGCAACCAACATTCCCAGCGAGCCATGCTTTGCACGAATAAAATTGCACCTTGAACCATTTGCAAATTGCAGTGGACGAGATGAAGGCAGGAAGTGTGTGTATGTGTGTATGTGTGTGTGTGTGTGTGTGTGTGTGTGTGTGTGTGTGTGTGTGTGTGTGTGTGTGTGTGTGTGTGTGTGTGTGTGTGACTCGTGCGCCTGACTCGTGTGCGTGTGTGTGTGAGA